AGCCTCTCTTGCAGGAACTGCACTGGTTCTGACCTCGTCCAAAGCAGGTCTCACACCCTCTATGGCAACGTCTGCACCTTCTGCCAGCCACATCTGCCATGAACCCAGACGGGCAGGTGCTCACGCACTTCCTGCATCAAACCAGAAACAAGAAAATTACCAGTAAAATAAAAAATATGAAGCAAACACAAAAATATCTAAACTTCCACCAAACCTCCATAATAAGTATCAGCATCTCCCACATGGAGGAAAAAAAATATATTTGAAATACTACAATTTTGTTGATATTCAATATATTTCTAAATATATTTCAATAAATAGATACTGTATGTTGAAATGGTTATTACAAAATATATGAAAAATATTTTTAAAAATGCATTTTCAAATATACTGTATGTCTTTAAAAATACGTTTAATCTACATTTTTGGAATGCATTTACAATGTAAAAATATATGATTAAAATGAAATCTGAAGAATATATTTAAAAATATATATATATTTTTACACACAAAAATATATTTTTCATATGTTCTGTAATATATAAAATGCATTTCAACATGCAGTATATATATAAATATATGTGTGTGTGTGCATTATATAATATATATATATATAATATATATATATATAATACACACACACATATATATATACATACACACATACACACACATATATATATATATACACACACACACACACACACACACACACACACACACACACACACACACACACACACACATATATATATATATATAAATACAAATAAAACACACAAAATAAAAATACACACATACATACACATAAAACACAAACATACACATACAATATATATTTATATATACTGCATGTTGAAATGCGTTTTTTTTATATTACAAAACATATGAAAAAATATTTTTAAAAATAGATATTTTTTTAAAATATATTCTTCAGATTTTAACATATAAAAAAGTCATTGTAACATATCTTTTTACATATGTTTGTAAATGCATTCCAAAAATGTAGCTTAAACGTATTTTAAAGACATACAGTATATTTGAAAATGCATTTTTAAAAAATATTTTTCATAGGTTTTGTAAGTAAAACACATTTCAACATACAGTATATATATATATTTATTGAAATATATTTAGAAATATATTGAATACCGACAAAATTGTAGTATTTCAAATATATGTCAAATATATTTGGGAAGAATATTTTTTAAAATATATTTAAAATATATTTTTCTTTCATGTGGACTGGGTCACCTTACTAGTGTATTCCAGCTATTTGATTTAAATAATTAGAGAGTAGGGAAGGGTAACATTTTTTCCCCATTGAGGAGATTTCCTTTTTTCTTTTTGGTCACGTAGGCACACCTTACAGAGGGTAGCTATGAATGCTCCTCTGTCTTGCAGAAGTATTTAAACTGTATAACTGAACACCCCTTTCAAAAGTAAAATTAAACAAACCATCAAGGATGGGGATCAACGTGACACGCCAAAATTTATTCACCTATGTCTGATTATTCCTCGGTAACAAATATCACGTGATGGTTTCAGTCTTTGACAAGACAAAGTCTCATGATGCTGTAAAAAGAATTGTCTTAATGGCGCTCGTAGTATATGGGTGGCCTCCTGGGATACATAATCATGAGTCCAATAAACTGGTCTTTATCAAGCATGTCAGGTGTTGACTCTGGTACGCTTCCTTTCACAAGATGCATAACCTCCAGAAATACGGAAGAAATCTCTGAATCAAGCCATAAAACAGCGGAGGGCAACATCTAAGTGTAGTATTAAAAGATTTATTTATGATAAACCCACATGCAACTATTTATAGCAACTCGCGTAGTAAGTTAGTGACGGCATGTAGAGCATAAGATTCAGGACATCCAGAGAACCCTATAACAGAGGCAGTTCCGTCATCCAGGTAAGCATAGGAGAAACCCTACGCATGTCATACCCCCAGGATGTCCCCCAGCATCTGACATCATCCATTGGGTTTGTAACAGAACCGACCTAGACTGCACTTGGGTACTTCCGTTAGAATACCGCTTCACCGTTCGAACACCGACCACAGACACCACAGCCAACCATACAAGACTAGACAATACCAGTCTTGAAGTAAATCAGAGTAGACTGGTTTATTTTAACACAGAAATAAAGATATATACACTCAAGGGGACAATCCCCCCTCCCTGCATAATGATACAGGGCGGGGCAATCTACATTTAGTAACAAGAGACACACCAACAGACAGTCCCATTGGGAGGGAGGGCTGCTAGAGACACCCCCCCACCACCAAGCCAATACACAAACACATACATCCCATAATAGTTTGCTCCCAAACCATACACACAATAGAACAATGGGATGCAAACACATAACATCAAACAATCAACAACCCCCCACCCCAATATTAGGACAGATCACCCTGTACCCCTAACAGGCACAGGGTGGTTTACACATAAGAGGGATATCGGGAGCGGAGACAGGGGTCTCCCCACCTCTCCAAAGTGAGCTGGGTTCCATGGGCCCCCCACCCAAAGTGACTCCTGTCACAGGGTTCCTCGGAGTCTTCTCTCGACCCAGAAGTGAGCTTTCTATGACAACCTGGTTGGAGGCAACGTGCACAATAACTGGACCTGGATGTCTCTGCCACAGGGTTCCATGAATGTCCGGATTTGTTATGCTCTACATACCTTCACAAGTTTACATCATGTGCGTTGCCACTTTTTGTCTTATCATACAATAATGGTTTAACACTGCACTTAGATGGCGCCCTCCGCTGTGTGTGCATTTATGTTAAGATGTTCTAAGCCAGGGGTTCCCAAATGTTTGAGTACAAGGGCCACCTCGTATATTTCTCAAATATTTGTAGGCCAAAAAAAAAAAAAAAAAAAAATCAGTTTTCAAAATGATAAAAATTGAAATGAACGAACAAACATGCTCCAAGAAATAACTTTACATCAGAATCCCCCCATCACATTAGAGTCCCCCTTGCATTAGAGTTTTTCATCAAATTCGCTCCCATACATCATTATTATTATTATACAGCGCCAATAGTTTGCTCAGCGCTTTACAATATAAAGGGAGACAATACAGCAACAATACAGTTCAATACAAGAGGGATAGGAGGGCCCTGATCCTGGGAGCTTGCAATCTAAGAGGGAAGGGCTAGTGGTACAAAAGGAAGTAACTGTGGGGGATGGACTGGTAGGAGGAGTAGAAGATTCCATTATTACCTGAGGGCAGGATAGGCTTCCCTGAAGAGATAGGTTTTCAGAGATCGCCTAAAAGTGAGCAGAGTTGGCGATAGTCTGATAAATTGGGGGGTAGAGAGTTCCAGAGAAAGGAGGAAGTTCTGGATAAGTCCTAGAGACTAGCATGGGAGGAGGAGACAAGGGAGCTAGAGAGCAGGAGGTCATGCGAGGAGTGGAGAGTACGGTTTGGGTGATATTTGGAGATCATGGCCCCCATCAGCATCCTGCACTGGAAACTGCAGTTGATTTTGGAGGAGAGAGAAGCAGACACCAACTGATCCACATCCTCAGTCTAAATCGAGGGTACGTCACCTTAGGACGGGCCTAATAACGTCTTGTAGTGGGCCAGATGTGGCCCGTAGTTTGGAGACCACTGCTCTAAACAATATTGGTAAGCAATATCCTCTGCACCATGACTGCATTACGACAAGGGTAGGATGCTGTACAACCGACCAGATGCTCGTTAAAGTGTATGGCCTCAGCCAGCGCTGCTCCAGTGAACAGGCCACTGGTGGGTGGGGCAAAATGCAACAAAGAGCATGGTCGCTAGAGCAGCGCTAGCTGAGGCCATACACCTCAACGAGCATTGGGTCAGTTGAGTGGCGTCCTGTCCTCGTTATGCTGACACTGCTGGATTGGTGACGTTGGATACTCGCTCCCAGACTGAGCACCGGCAGAGAATCAACCATACCTCTAGTTTTGAGCGGCGCTGTACTTTCCGAGGTCACCATGGCCGCATTATGGTTTCATCAGTCACATGGACAAAGTAGTGCACTGTCTAGTAGTAAAGGGTTAGTTCACCTTTTCATAAAAAATGAAATGTTGAACGCACACCCTATGCTAACCAATCAGAACTGCTCTGATTGGTCGCAGCTTCCCTAGGAAGGAAGAATCATACGTTTTTCAAACCCCAGGACCATTGAACTGGACTATATGGCCAGTGAAACTATCACCCAGAGAGGTAAGTACAGCAAGGACCGAGGAAAGCTTGCTATGGGGAGGATGTGGAGCACGGGTGTCAAACTGGCAGACCTCCAGCTGTTGCCAAACTACAAGTCCCATGAAGCATTGCAAGACTGACCGTTACAAGCATGACTCCCAAAGGTAGAAGCATGACGGGACTTGCAGTTTTGCAACAGCTGGAGGGCCGCCAGTTTGACACCCGTGATTTAGGCTGTTCACCTTTTTATTATTTTTGAAAAGGTGAAATAACCCCTTAACATTGGCAACACGTTTTCTGGCAGAAAACAGAGGTGCCGAAGGAAGACTGGATCAATAGAGTAAATCAGATTAGTAGAATGGAAAAATCTTACTATATGCAGGAAGATAGGTTGGGAATATACTATACGAGATGGGAAAAATGGGAAAAATCAGGATTGAAAGAGAAATATAGAAAATTTTAAACTAGGAAGTCATTTAAAGTTATTGGGCCTTGAGAGATTGGAGAACTTGCAGAGGGGAGGGAGGGGGAAGGAGGGTAGAAATGGGTTGGGAGGGGAGGGAAAGAAAAGAGGTATTAGAAGGGGCAAAGTAGAAATGTAATGATTATTTATATGTATTGTGTCTCTTCTTATGGAATTGTTGTAATAATATGAAAAATTAATAAATATTTAAATTAAAAAAAAAAAAAAACACAAAACATTGGCAACACGTCACTATCATTTCTATTCTTCCCAACAGCACATGGCACGCACCAACTTACCTGCCAGATTTGACACTGCCAAGGCTATAGTGAACACAGTTGAGACACTGATCGGCGCCGGGCCCGTCACATCCTCTGTCTCCACACTCTGCGTGGCACGGACCTTGGAAATACAAATATTTATTTCTAAATGTAAACCAAAAAAGGACCGGATGAGGAACATTTGGGCGTGAGACATGCAAGTGCTACAATGATCTGGCCATACAGAGACACAAACAGCATTACCGGCTCATTAAATGAAAACACTGAAACATTTTAATTTGATTAAATTACAAGTCCAACACATTTACGCTTGGACGATCCTGTACAAATTTCAGTTTATGAACATCTAATTTCAGAGTGGGTAAAAAAAAAAAACTTGTGATATTGCAAATTGAAGTCACATGGAAATGTTCCTTTGAATGTAGCAAGGCATGTTTAAAGGGAACCTGTATCAGGAGAATATGGAGACTGTCCCTGCTGACCACGCTGTACAACTAGCTGTCTGGCATTCAACAAATTCTGAATCAGTGGCCCAGAACAAGCAGCATGCACGTCGGGAGTTCGGGCTGATTTCACTCACTTGCAGCATACTGGCCACCGAGCAAGGATTCAGAGAGTACTGAAGCCAAAGACTGCCTTGAAATTCCATCTCTCGTGCCAGCTGTCCTAAATATATATTTTGTAATTATTCCTTTGGCAAGTTGATCAATTTGTAAATTTTTAATACAAATCCACTATTAAAGTTAATTTCCTTCATTATACAATGGCAGACGGGGTCATGGTCAATCACACTGGCCAAGACCCTTCAGATATGCAATTTGTATGGCAGCCACGTAGAGTTAGCTGACCGGCACAGATTCCTTTGAGGACCAGAATTAGTTTTCCTCAAAACAGAATTGTGTGTAACATTATGAGCAGCACCTACGTACATAAAGCCCTACCAATGCTGACCAAAGTACACCTTCGGGGTTATACCAAGCTTGGAGATGTATCAAGGGTAAGTGCATTAAAAATAAATATTACCGTTCCCTCCAAAGCCTTTGCAAAAACTAAATACAACATAAGGGGTTGGACAAAAATAAAACAAAAATATGGAAACACGACATGATTTGCAAGTGTGAAAGTGACGACAAGTTTCACGTTGAAAGCGGAAGTGAAGTAACATTCTTTTGCTCCCGCTGTGTGTTGAGACACCTAGCTAACCGGTGAGCAGCCTCATTTCATCATTCACTGCATGTGCTGCTAGTAATACGGAGTCAAGTCAGAGCTTATGTCAGTCATAAGAACCAGCAAACACAAATGCTCCTGCGCTTGGGGATGGACTCGATGCAGGCTACAACCACATAAGGAATGTCCTGGAACATGCACACCTTGCTGCCCTCAAATGGACCGGGGAAATCCAAATATACTGAATGAGGAAAGAAAAAAACAGAGGGCGCATAGGCCTAGTGCATTACCATAAAAAATGTTTAATAAAAAATAAAGTATGTGTTGTACTCACAAACGACAATATAGTCAAGGCACATCATAAGGAACAGCTGGGTCAACACCACGCTGGGTAACAGTCCGCAATGGGGAGTGTAGACATCCAAAAGGCTGACGCGTTTCAAGGACTTGCCTCTTCCTCAGACGTCAGTCATGTCAGAGCTGATTGAGTTTCAAAGAGGGCAAATTGTTGGTGCCGCTTAGCTGGTGACTATAATTGCCAATTTATATGCCGTGTGGTGAGGTACAGTATCAAAGGTTATGATGGCATATACAGTTTCCAGGAAAACGTCGTCAGATAAGCATAAGCATGGTTGACATGGACAATTGACCAAAAGAGACAAAAGGACATTGCACAGGATTGTGACCCGGAATAAGAAAACCACTGCTGCAAAAGTGACTGCAGAGCTCAATCTCAGTCTTCCAAAGCCCGTGTCCACAAACACTGTGCGGAGGGAACTCCATAAGCAAAACATACACGTGTGAGTTGCAATTGCCAAACTGTTAGTGACTGATATTAATGCTCAGAAGAGGAGAGAGTGGTGCTATACCCATAAATCGTAGACTATCGATCAATGGAAGAATGTAATATGGCCCGATGAATAGAGCTTCACACGGTTCCCAACCACCGGGTGTGTATGTGGGAGGAACAGTGTCCAAAGCTTGCAACCAGGACTGTCTTATGCCAATGGTAAAGCATGGTGGCAGTGCAATCATTGTTTTGGACAGCCATATCTTGGTATTCTGCAGGCCCCAACATCACCTTGAAAGGTAGAGCCCCTGCCAGTGACCATGTACAAATTTTGGTCAACCATGTGCACCCCTTGGTGCAGACATTGTCCCCCGAAGACAGCACCACTTACCAAGACAACATTGCTCCGATTCGGACAGCCGGTGTCAACTCGTGGCTTGACGAGCATGCAGACGAAGTCTCGCACCTTCTTTGGGTGCTGCAGTTGCCAAACCTTAATATCATAGAGCCACTATGGTCAATTTTGGAGAACAAGGCTTGGGCTCATTTTCTGCCTCTGTCATCTCTGCGAGTACTGGAATGATTTTTCATGAACAGTTGTATCAAAGTCCATTATCCACCATCCAAGACTTATATTTGTCAATTCCCAGGAGAATTCAGGCCATCTTGGATGCCAAAGGTGGTCCAATGCTGTATTGGGTAAAGATTTTGTTCTTTTAACTGGTGTTTCCATAATCTTGTCCAACCCTTGTATCCCATTGCTTGAGAGTATTTCTTAATACTCCCCATCCAGCCAGGGGCAAGTGGATTATATACTTACTCATCACTTCTTGCTCATCTTATAATCCAGTGCATGCATGTGCTTAAGACAAGGTCTAGTCATACAGAATACCGAGTGACTGCCCAGTACATGCCACAAGGTAAAGACAAAGACTGGGCAAGGTGATTGGTCATAACTGTCCATGTCTAGGCTACCGTGGCTTCTCCCAAAATGTATCATCTCCACCTATTTTAGTAACAATATCTAATCTTGCCTTGTATTTACAAACTGAAGTTTACAGCAGTGGTGGTCAACTTAACCACTTCCCGACCGGCCGTTGCACATAAACGGCCGGACGGTGGCAGTGCAGAGGCAGGTGGCCGTTTATAAACGGCTTCCCCGCACCCTGCTTGTGCGCGCTCCCTGGGAGCACGCAGCACCGCGATCCGGTGCCTGCAGCACCGCGATCCGGTGCCTGCTGTGTCCTCCGGACACAGCGGAACACCGATCGTCGGAAGGGACCTCTGTACGAGGTCCCAATCATGTGATTACTGATTGGCCAATCAGTGATCACATGCAAAGTAGTAAGCAAGATGTCACTTGTGACATCATTGCTTACTACGTGTGAAATCTGTGAATGATCACAGAGGTCACATGGTACAAGGCTATTCACAAAAGCCTTGTACCATGTGAGAAGCTGTGACCAATCACAGCTCACACAGTATTTCTCAATGAGTGCAAGAATGCAGCCAGAGAGAAAGAGAAATGATTGCTTTTACATCCTATATGGGTGTAAAAGCAATCAGTGTAAAAAAAAAAAAAAAAAAAAAAAAAATCTTCATCACCCCCCACAAGTAGTACAGTGTCACCATGGTGACACTGACTGCTAGGGTAACAGTATGTACAAAAATAAAAAATAAAAAATATAAAAAAATAAAATAAAATGTACAAAAAAATGTTTAAAAATTATAATTTTTGGTTCTAAACTAATTTGGATTTTTTTTTTTACTAAAAAGATAACGGAATAAATTTTGGCAAAGATTTATGATGAAATATTATTTATTTGCAAACTTTTATAAAAAAAAAAACACTTTTTAAAAATTTTTTTGGACTTTTTCATTTACATAGCAAAAAAAATAGAAATCCCAGCGGTGAATAAATACCACCAAAATAAAGCTTTATCTGTCTCAAAAAAATGGTAAAAAATTCATTTGGGTACAGTGTTGCATGACAGCGCAATTGTCATTCAAAGTGTGACAGCGCTGAAAGCTGAAAATTGCCCTGGTCAGGAAGGGGGGGAAAGTGTCCGGACTGGAAGTGGTTAAGAGCTAAACGGGACCTTAAATGTGGTCCCTGACATCACCAAAAGGCCACACAATGTTCAATATATGTGCTTGAGAGGACTATCAAACTGCAAACCTAGTAGAGGAAATGAGGGCCAGAGAGGGTGGACAGGATACATTGTTGGCTGGGGATATGATGCAGAAGACAATACAGAGCTGGGAACATATCCAACGTCACCAATCCAGCAGTGTCAGCATAACGAGGACAGGACGCCACTCAACTGACCCAATGCTCGTTAAGGTGTATGGCCTCCGCTAGCGCTGCTCTAGCGACCATGCTCTTTGTTGCATTTTGCCCCACCCACCAGTGGCCTGTTCACTGGAGCAGCGCTGGCTGAGGCCATACACTTTAACGAGCATCTGGTCGGTTGTACAGCATCCTACCCTTGTCGTAATGTGGTCATGGTGCAGAGGATATTGCTTACCAATATTGTTTGGAGCAGTGGTCTCCAAACTACGGGCCACATCTGGCCCACTACAAGACGTTATTAGGCCCGTCCTAAGGTGACGTACCCTCGACTCAGACTGAGGATGTGGATTAGTTGGTGTCTGCTTCTCTCCTCCAAAATCCACTGCAGTTTCCAGTGCAGGATGCTGATGGGAAACATGATCTCCAAATATCACCCAAACTGTACTCTCCCCCCTCGCACGACCTCCTGCTCTCTAGCTCCCTTGTCTCCTCCTCCCATGCTCGTCTCTAGGACTTCTCCAGAACTTATAAATTGTCATTCAAAGTGTGACAGCGCTGAAAGCTGAAAATTGCCCTGGTCAGGAGGGGGGGGGAAAGTGTCCGGACTGGAAGTGGTTAAGAGCTAAACGGGACCTTAAATGTGGTCCCTGACATCACCAAAAGGCCACACAATGTTCAATATATGTGCTTGAGAGGACTATCAAACTGCAAACCTAGTAGAGGAAATGAGGGCCAGAGAGGGTGGACAGGATACATTGTTGGCTGGGGATATGATGCAGAAGACAATACAGAGCTGGGAACATGTTCCATGAGGCTGGTAGAGATCAATCCTACTACCCTAATCAATGATCTCACTACAGACTGCTGAGATCCGAGGGTTGCAGGTTGGACAGCAGAGGTTTACAGGATTCCTGCAAATAGCTCCAAAAAGCAGCATTCATTACTACAGCTATAATATCACCAACATCTCGACACATTATTGTTGTCCCTAGAATAAATGTGTTGCACCAAACGATTGCTTCACACAGGCATGACATACCCTAGACTTGTACCTGAATACTCGTCTTCTTCCTCAAACTCTAGGGGATTCTGGAAGATGCCAGATTTGGAAGGCTCCTGATCAGCTGCAGATAAATCCAGGGCTTTGGACCTTGAGTGATGGAAACTGATAGCATTGAACGGGTGCTCAGTTGTGCCGTAAAGAATCAGCGTCCATTCCTTCAGCTTCCCTGAAACACAGGTTTATACAATTACATATACTTTTCTATTGATTTTCTACAATACTTGAACTAAGCACAGTAAATGGGGACCTTTTGTACTGATAAAGCTCTATACGCATTTGCAACATTTTGATTTAAAGGCGAGGACTACTCTTCTCGATGTGGTGACCACTAGGGATGAGCCGAGGCGTGTTTCGGAGCAATTAAACCATGACAACATCTAATGTTTGTGTAGTATTATGTTCAGCAGACTGTGTTCTTCTATTGTTGTGACTTAGATGACGTTCAGAGCACATTTTATGCCCAATTCATGCAAAACTCGACGTAATTCCAAGGGGTTTACATACTTTTTCTTGCAACTGTATATGTTTGAAAATGCAGTGGACAAATAAGTTGTGGAGCCAGTCAGCTGTAAAAAGGTCTGTTCCAACATAACCCTTATGTCCATGGCCATAAAAGGGTAAAGCCAATCTCTGGAAATTATGGTATAAAAGGATAGTTAGAGTGCCAATAAGTTTTCTACTCTACCACTGATTTTCAGCTATCTACAGCTCCTGGAAAACTGAACTTAGACATAATACAGTGGAACTAAACTAGGTCGCAGCTTAGGGTTCAACCTAGTTAAGAAATTATTCAGTTGACATTGCCTCCAATCCGCAAGTGGGAAAGTCCCATACGTAGATTGTAAAACATGGTTAGGCAGGGGGGTACCCTGAGGGGAAAATTTGGCACAATAAATATCTCCATCCACTCCCCAGGAGCCAAAGAACCCAAGATCCTCTCCCGGAGGGAGTGCTGTAATGCCTCGTGTCCGGGCGCCATCTTGGCTGCAGCTCTGGAGCTGGCTGGGTGCGGGGTAAAAAACGTTTGGAGCCCGCCTGCCCGTGATCTGTCACCTCCGGGAGGGTGTAAGGAAGTGCGGCGTTTGGAAGGCATAATTTGGGGAGAGCAGGGAGGCTGGAGATCGCTGCTTTATAGAAAAATATGCCCAGGGCCGCCGGAGCTCAGAGCCCAGACGTCTTCACATCATGTTGCTCAGGCCACCCCCCCCCCCCCCCAAATGTTATTGAATGCATTTTTAATATTCAAAGCAAACTCCCCCATCCATGTCCCCATGCTTTAATTTGAAAAATCACTTGTGAAAACACCCCCTAGCATTTCTTGTGGCCATCTTGAGTAAGGGAAGATGATTCATGTAGCATTTAGTTCCTGGAATCCATCTACCCTTAACTCGGGCATGCAGACAGGAGGGTGTGCTTAGCTGAAAAAACTCTCCTTCCATTAAGACTCCTGGAATGTATGACGTCATTTTTGCCTAGGCTAGAAGCCAGGAAGCAACTGAAAAAATGTAAAAAGAAACCCACAACTTTAAACCAGGTAAATATAATATACTTTCCTATTTACTAATGTTAGCAGCATAAGGATTAAAACAGTAAATGTTGACTGAAAGATAGGAGTTTAGTTTGGCTTTAAAGTGGGGCACTCAATATTTTTTCTTCTAGTGGCAACTGGTATGTTCAAGCCCAACACTTGGGAAATGTAAAAACTCTCCCTTGCAGTGGGGTCTTAGTTTTACTAACCCGATCCTCCATTCCCCCATTAGACGACGCCCCCTATGCTCCAGCAGTGGAGTGTTCCTCTGCGTCATCATATCCAATGCACGGCTGCGGTCCCTGCTCTAGTCTTGATGGCATAAGAATCTTAGACTGGTGGAGCGTAAGGCTGCGGGGATCGGTTAAGTAGCATGGCGGATCAGGTAAGTAAATCATCTTTGCTCTGCCCCCTAGACCTAAACGAGCAGTCAATCCTTGCAGTTCGGGTGCAGCCCCCACTGCAAGGGAAAATTTAAGTTTCTCGGAGATGGGCTTTCATTTGAGCTCTGTGACATGAATGGTTAATACAGATATGGGGCTCAGAAGTGAATGAAACTTCTCTGCGCAGAGTGACTCATCTGTCATTTGGTGGCTAAGCTGTTTTGAAGCATATACAGCCAGCTGACAATCCCAGAAGATGAAATAAATGGGTATTGGTGCCAGCAGAGTGACAGTGGTGCCACTGACACGAGGCTCAGACTGGAGGAATGACTTATTTGGAGAAGAAGATATTACATTCATATAGATTTTTATGAAAATTCCGTGTCAACATGTTTTCGGGAGGGACAGATTTATACTTGGAAGAGAAACGAAAAGGAAAAATTGCCAAACTAAGAGGAACAGAAAAACAGGACGGGAACCTTGTATGACCAGGTAGGCCTGGGACCACCCATGGAGTTGAAAGGGAACATGAACAAATTACTGATACATTACATGCAAATCCATCAGCTATTAGACTGACCACCTACAGACAATATCCAATATCATTCATTATATGGCCCAGCTAGAAGCAATTCCTCGGGCTGCTCAGAACACATGCATGCCATGGTAATTATTTTCTAAAAATGGCCAAGAACATTATTATATATGGTAGGATTAGGAGACGTGCTTGAAATCTCCTTCATGAAGACATAGCAAATAAAACCTGACCAAGGTTCTGCCATACGCGATCCAAAACATGCTGGTAGGTTAATTGGATCCTGTCTAAATTGGCCCTAGTATATGTATGAATGTGAGTTAAGGACCTTAGATTGTACACCCCTTGAGGGTTAGGGACTGATGTGAATGTACATTATATATGTAAAGCACTGTGTAACTTGACGGTGCTATATAAGTACCTGTAATAAATAAAATAAAAAAAACAAATGTTTTGACTTTCAGCTAAAGCGTAGTATACACCAGGATGGCTTCCACTCATCTTCCAAAGTGTAGCCTTTTGAATATTCAGTTTATAAAAGCGCCTCCTGCTAACTACCAAGGCCAAGCATTAAAGCCATTTCCAGTTACTGATAATTTAATGGGGGTCGGAGTGCACAAACCCCAAAGGGCATGTCACCAACATAAGGCCTTACAGTAGGAAGTTTAGGCAAAACCCAACTAAGGCCAAACCTACTCTCAACCCCCGTTCTAAGGTTATTCTATCTAGCCTCGTAAAAAAAAGATCCGTAATACTCACCTATTCTGAAGCAGCTCTTGTCCAGTCTCCAGAGGCAGCTTCTGTGCACAGGAGAGATTGCCAACCACGGCTGGAAATGCCTAGGAGATAACATCACCCATAGGCTTAGTATGGGGCATCCATTGTTGGCTGCTCCTCCTCTACACAGAAGCTGCCACTGAACGCTGATCTTGGAACTGGACCTAAGTGGCTTGAAAATTATTACAGGTACTTATATAGTGCCATCAATTTATGCAGCACTTTATATATATATATATATATATATATATATATATATATATATATATATATATATATATATATATATATATATTGTACATTCACATCAGTCCCTAACCCTCAAGGGGCGTACAATCTAAGGTCCCCTAACTTACATTCATACATATACATACTAGGGCCAATTTAGACAGGAGCCAATTAACCTACCAGCATGTCTTTGGAGTGTGGGAGGAAACTGGGGTACCCAGAGGAAACCCATGCAGGCACAGCGAGAACATGCAAACTCCAGGCAGGTGGTGCCGTGGCTGGGATTCGAACCAGTGACCCTAGTACTGCCAGGCGGAAGTGCTAACCATTTAGCCACTGTGCTTTTCCTTACAGGTTTAGAGATAGAATAGCTAGAGAAGGGGGTGGGAGGAAGTTTAGTCTTAGTTAGGGTTCTGCCTGATCTTCTACTTTAAGTTGAGTTTCTGTGCTAAGGCCCAATGGGTAGTTATCTTCTCTACTAGTCAGTGGAGGCTCTTCGCCCCATGCACATGATGTGTGCAGTAAGCTACAGCCAACAGCTACATCAATCTGAACAAATCAATAGCCATCACCGCCGCTGTTCACATGTAACCATTCATCGTATTGGTTACATGAATCAAGGACTCTGGTCAACGCTGGATGTAGTCTGGGATGGAGTTTCTGGCTGCATACAAACTGGCCTGGCTGAAGCTATTGTCTGGTTCGAATGCAGCCATAGCCCAGAGTGCTGCCGTGTCCAGAGGTGGTGTGTAACCATTTGGGCTTTGGGCCAAGTTGGTCAGATTGTCACTTTCCTTCACTAACGTGGTTGCTGTGGGCATGACCGCATTTGCCCACCTCAGCCAGAGGAAGGATTGTATTCACTCATAAAAAAAAAAAAAAAAAAAGAAAAATAATAAATAAAAAAGGAGAAAATTGATTTTTCTTCATTAGCACATCCCCCACAGTAATTACCTATTGTATCACTTGACCCTCCCTTTTAGATTGTAAGTTCTAACGAACAGGGCCCTCTGATTACTCCTATAATGAATTACATAATTACATGGTTATTCTGGCTGAAAAAAGACAAAAGTCCATCCAGTTCAACCATCAAAAAGAAAAACAAAAATAGTTATAATCCTAGACCAGTGATGGCGAACCTTTGGCACGCGTGCCAGAACTGGCACGCAGAGCCATCTCAGTGGGCATGCCAGGAAGAAGAGGAAGAACGCGCTCTCCTGCGCACCCCCGGGGGCGTGCACCGGGCGATCTCCATGATCGCTGTGTCCTACGGACACAGCTGATCACGTGACGTGGTAAAAGGTCTTTTACCACGTGATCAGCCGTGTCCAATGACACGCTGATCACCGGGAAATGCAAATGCCGGTTCTCGGCTGCACTTTCCTCACGCTGTCAGATCGTGAGGAAAGTACTGCCAAAAACCGGCAGCTGTCAGAGCGGGGATCGGCAACGATCATCAGTACCCTGATGATCGGTGCCCAGCAGTGCCACACACAAGTTCCGCCCACCTGTGCCCAGCAATGCACCCACCTATGCCCACCTGTGCCGCCCACCTGTGCCCAGTAGTGCCGCCCACCTGTGCCACCCCACCAGTGCCACCCACCTGTGCCACCCACCAGTGCCCACCAGTGCAGCCCAGCAGTGCTGCCAGTCAGTGCCACCAGTCAGTGCCCAGTGATGTCAGTCAGTGCCACCTATCAGTGCTGTCTATCAGT